GTAGGGCTCCCCCTGATATTTGGGGAGGGGCTTTTGGGGGGTCCTGGCAGGTGGGGTGTCCCCTCTGCTGTGCTGTGGCGGGGCACTGGAGGTCCTTAAAGTGGCCTTGGGGACCTCATGGGGGGCACGGGGGTTGTGCTGGGGGGTCCTCGAGAAGCTGCTGGTGATGATGATGATGGGGAGGTCACACATGGGGGGGGTCACCTCTGGGGAGAGCCTGGCCCCCTCCCAGTGTCCCCTTCATCTCCTGGGCCTCTGGAGCCAGGTGTTCATGGACCCACCTTGATCGTTCATGGACCCACCTTGATCTCCCAGTTCCAGGATGGACACAGGGCCTGAGGGCTTTTTTTGGGGTCACCTTTCTGTCCCCCCAGCTCTTTCAGCCAGGAGGTTTTCCAGATCAGCTCCTCTTGTTCCAGGAATCCTAAACTCTCCTGATCCCTTCCTTGCTCCAGAAGTGATTCCAGAACGTGGGGAAAAAAAAAAAAAAAGTATTTTTAGTTTAACTCCTTTTGGTGAGGTTTAACCCTTGTAATTCCCCAGTTCCCATGATGCCTCCCTCAACATTTGAACCCACTTTTCATTCCTCATCTCAAAATGTTGCAGAAATGCTGGGAGCTCTGTGGGAGCTGTGCCCCAGATTTCCCTGAAGAACCCAATTTTTCCACCTTTCATCCTAAAACCCAGAGCTGAGTGTTGGGAGTGTGAACAGTGACCTGGGATGGACTCGGATCCCTGGGAAATCCATGGATCTTTCAGCTACTGAGCCAAATCCCATTCAAGGGGTCCAGACTGCCCAAATCTTCCTGGTGATCATCCCAAAATCCCATTTTTTTGGCTAATTCTTGCCCTGGAATAACACCTGGATTCATTGGTGCTCCCAGAGCCTTTCTGGGTGGGTTCTACCTGGGCTGCTCATGGATCATTCCCACCCTTCTCTCACCCCAGAATTTCCTGGATCTCTGCTTTTGATTCCTTAAAACCATCCAGAGAATCCATTTTTGGCTCTGGATTTTGATGGGAATCTTCTTATCTTCAACAGCAAAATGGGTGCTGGAAGTCAGGGAATGCAAGCAGGAATTTTTGAGCCTGTTTTTCCTTCCTAACTTCAAAATCCATTTAATTTAAAGATGGAAAAAATTGGAAACTTGATAATTTTATTTATTTGGTTTTTTGGTTTTGGTGGTTTTTTTTGTTTTTTTTTTCTTCGTTCTGATTCTTCCAGGAGTTTCTTTACATCATGGAAAGGATTATTTGGAATAATTTGGGTTTTTATGTGAGGATTAGGAATGCCATCCTGACAGATCCATTGGGGAAGGATCCTTACTCAGGTGTTGGGATCCCACCCAGACTCCAGCTCTAATTTTCCATGGAAATGTGGTTTCAGGGAATAATTTGAGGACTTTCAGCAATATTAGAGAGCTGGAAAGGCAGTGGGGGGGTTTCCACTTCTGCTCCTCCTGGCATTGGGATTGATCAATTCCTTCCTTCCTGCTCTTCCCCGTCTACCACCAGGATTCCTCACTTTTCCTTCCAAAAAACCCTAAAAACACTGGATTTCACCCCGAGCTGGTGCATGGGTTGGGAATTCCTATTCTGCCTTTTGGGACCCAAATGTTCCCTTCTGGAGGGGACAGGGAGGATCCCTGGGCTGGATCCAAATCCCACCCAAAACCCAACCCCCGAAGGGCTGCAGAGCATCCAGGTCCATCCTGGAAGTTTCCCAATGGGAATCGGGTCTAAAAATTCCCTTATCCAACGTGGAGCTGCAAGTTTCCCCAAATCTCAAGTATTGCCATGGGTTATTTGGGACTTTTTGGGATTAAGAAAGCCCCAGGGAGGCTCATTCCCAGTCTGGCATCTGTGACGGACTGGGAATTCTTGGAGCATCCTGTGCTTTTTCTAAACTTTAGGGAATTTTGGGGGGTGATCAGGGGGGTGAGTCTGGCAAAAAGAAAACCCAACCAAAAAAAGCTCTTTTCCTTTGGTCTTGGGCGAGTTCCATCCCAAATCAATCCCGAAGCTGGGGTGGGTGTCCGTGCGGAGATTCCTGCTGGTGGGCTGGCACCGGGAGCTCCGGTCGGGATCGGGATGGGATCGGCAGCATCCCCGGGGAATCCCGGGCATCTCCTCCTGGCCGTGCCGCGACTCACGGGACGCGAACACCCGCGGCTGGAGCCCACAGCTCCCGGCGCGGCGGGGCGATTCTCCCGGGAGAACCGGGCGCCG